CTCTGGGGTGAGTGGGAGGCTTAAAATAAAAGCTGCTGAGCCATCTTGGCACCAGCTTGTTTTAGGTGCAGGCGTGGAGCCCACTGCTGCGCTGCTCTCAGCAGTGCCCTGGCAGCCTCCCTCTGGCTGCCCAGCTGCTGCTGGTCCTCCTGGGAGCACTGCCACCCATAAGCTCATGTCTTAACCAGCCTGGAGGTGTCTATGGAAAAGCCTTTCAGCACTCAGCTGCCTGCTGTGCCTTAGGGAAGGAGGCAGGCAGAGCCATGAGGCCTTGGATAGAGTCTCCCTGCAAAAGCTGCTTCCCTGCTGGTGGCTGAACTGCGCCAGGGAAGGGTGGTGCTGCAGCAGCTCCTTCTTGGCCTCTGCCAGTTCCTGCTGTAGGTGCAGGGTCAGTCTAATGCTTGTGGTTTGGCTTGTTCCAGGGTCTGGCCGTGTCACCTTTAACAACCAGCGCAGCTATCTGAAGGCAGTGACCGCTGCGTTTGTGGAAATCAAAACTACCAAGTTTACTAAAAAGGTGAGTGGAGCTGGTGGGGCCGCCCTGGGAGTTGAATCTGTGCGTGATGGGTGGCACTGCTGGGGGCACCACGCCTGCAGAGCCTGCCCCATAGCCCTGCGAGGCAGAGGGAGGAGGTGAACTGCGGCTCTGCCAGCTGCGAGAGGTGCTGGTGATGGATTTCGGGTACCCGGGGTGGTGGGTTGATGCCACTGGGGCTACCCAGGGAGCACAGGCAGTCACCCCCAGCACTGCTCTGTGCCCACTGCCTGGTTCTCCCGCAGGTTCAGATAGACCCGTACCTGGAGGACTCCATGTGCCAAGTCTGCAATGCCCAGCCTGGCCCTTTCTTCTGCAGAGACCAGGTACGGCTTTCCCTGCCGGCTGTGCTCAGCTGCTGTGCTTGGGGGGGGTTTCCTCGAGGAGGAGCAGGCTCCGCTTCAGCATCTGGGGATGCCTGTTGTCCCTTGCTGAGCAGGGAGGATGAAGAGTTCATGCAGCAGCCCCAGGTGTGGCCCTTGTTTTGGAGGAGGGGGGCAGCTCTGGTGCTCACCAGGAGGCAAAGGCAACTTTCCACTGTGCTGGATGCGACAGCCTCTGCCAGGGCCTGCCGTGGGCAGCTGGCTGCCCCCGAGGGGAGGCTGCTGCTCTGCCAGCAGTGACAAGCTGGCGGCTGGAGTGCCATCCCTGTCCAGTCAGTCCTGGGGCTGCCCAAAACGTAGAGGGACTCTGACTGACCTCCGGTCACTGAGGGCAAAGGAGCTCGGCCAGGATCCGGCAGCTTCCCACGGAGCCTGGGTGGGAGATGAG